CTTGAGCCATTCCATACAAACTGCCCAAACTATGAATAGCTACTTCAAATGTTACCTCTGAGTTGCTGACACATACCAGCAATGACAAAGAAATCTTACAATGTCCTTGATACTCTTGAGACTGCTGTCATTTGGCTCACAGAACACCAGCAGGCGCTCTGGACCCACACTCAACTTTGTGTGATGCAGGTTATTGCCCTGTCTACAGTGTACCCATCCCATTTAACAGCTCTGATTTCTGAGGGGAGGTCTAACACATGCTTCATGGTGCTTTTTACATGAGTTTTATTGCGGTGATTGAAGGCCCAGCTTCACAAATTTCAAATGGAAGCTAACACTATCACTTTAGACCATTTTAATGATATTGCCTACTGGCTCAACCCCAAAATCTGGTTCTGTGGTCTCACCTTCTGTGTCTGGATATTATTGCTGTAGATGTAATACTTTTGTTGTACTTCCTTTTTGTAGTAAATGCTCTTTGTATACTGTTACGGTGAACACTTTGGGCCAAAGCCATGATGCCTTTCCTACATCAAGCCCAATTCCTGTCTGCACTGTGCTTCCTTCTTCCTGCCCTGTCCCTGAACCTTCAAACAAAAAAGGAGGACATGTGTGGACTTGGCTAGAGCAATGAATGATCAGAGTTAAGAGACCTATGGGGCAAATTCACATAGACCTGAAAGACAGTATGCTGAAAACAGCAAGGTGTTCAGATTGGGAAGCATGTTGGGCTGGGCCATTGTCCTTCCCCCTGCTTGATAAATTGCCTAGATTAATGTAAAGTTGTCACATACAGGACCCCCTTGTTCCTGGACACAGTTGCTCCTTGTAACCTAGATCCGTGCCAGAGTTCTTGGTTTGGGACCGCTCTCTTGGTGCTCTCTCACTCTAGAAGCTCTTGGCCCAGTTCCTCTGGGCCTCTTAGTGTTCAGACAAAGTCTTGTCCCTGGGTAATCTTTTCATCTTCTGCACCACCATGGTCACAGACTGCAACAGGAGGTTCTGAACTTCAATACCGTAAACCATATATACTTTTAATATAGAAAGAAAAAGTATATATTTACAATTCAGTATAAGATTTGTACAAGAATTTAAAATTGTAACTTTCATTCCAGTCTGATAATGTGGATAGTAAAAAGTACTGCTTGAACTTCTCATTACTTTTTTTTATTTATTTTTTATTGGTACACTTTCGGTGTACAATACGGTTACATTCATAATTGGGAGATTTTACCTTTACATGTTATAACTTGGTTCTTGTTTTTTCACTTTTTTAAACTTTGAATGTGAGTTTCTGAAAGAAAATCTGGAATCCGTTTCCTTAAATTTTTTCATATGAATAGGAAGTTTTCTTTTAAGATTAGATGTCTAAAAAGCAGAGATAGAATACTTATTATTTAAATACTTTTCCAAAACACACAGGAAGTGCCCATTTGATACTCATTGTTGGTACAAAAATGGTTATTGGGATTTTTTTTCTTGATAAACAAAGACATGAATGTTTTCATTAATTAGTAAATGATACTGATGATTGAACCCAGGGCCTGCGCACTGAGCTAGATCCCCAACCCTTTGTATTTTATTTAAGTTCTGAGGCAGGGTCTCCATGAGTCCTTACTTTGTCAGGGTTGGTTTGAATTTAGGATCATCCTGCTTCAGCCTGCAAGAGTGCTGGTATTGCAACATGTGCCACTGTGCCTCCTTGGTAAAGTCAGTTTTGAAAATATATGACCGAAAAATGATTTGAGTTTAGTTTCTTTGAAAATTTTATTGTATACAATTTTGAAGTAGTGTTCTGGTAACTGAACAGTTGAACAAAGGAAGAGGTTTGTTTATAAAGTGATAAACTCTATTCATAGCAGCATTGTGGCATGTATATTTTTTATCCCTCCAAGTAAGCATATATAAATAAACATTTAAGGATATTAGAAATGGACATTTATGGTTTCTTGGAATTAGAAAAGTTATTTATTTTAATTTTATGAATCATTAATTTTGAATTAGAAATGCTAGGACTGGGGAGTAGCTGAGTGGCACTGCACCTGCCTTGCAAGCACAAGGTCCTGAGTTCAGTCCCCAGTACTGGGGGGAAAAATCAGAAATTAGAAATGCTTGTGAAAATTTATAATTTTACCTTTTTTTGGCTTAACGCCATTTTATAGAAGCTCCATGCTTAGATTTAATTGAAATCGCTGTGACAGGCAGTTCTGTGGGAAAAAAAGTGTCTATTTATTTGTGTGCCATCTTTTGTGTAAAGAGAATATACGATGCGATTTCTCTTTTTTCAAATGTATCTTACAATTTCTTTTTTATTTTTTGTTCTGTGGGAAAAAAAGTGTCTATTTATTTGTGTGCCATCTTTTGTGTAAAGAGAATATACGACGCGATTTCTCTTTTTTCAAATGTATCTTACAATTTCTTTTTTATTTTTTGTTGTTGTTGTTTGTTAGTTTTTTACTGATTTTTGAACCCAGGATCTTGTGTATGGTAGGCAAGTTCTCTACCATTGAGCTGCACACTCAGCCCTTTATAGAGTATACTACTTAATGGGCACTTTATATCCCAATGGAAACAATAAGGTATGTTTAGCTTTCAGAATAGATACAAAGTATTGACTTTGTTTTTTCCTTACAACTGAAAAATGTCCTGTCTTTGGGGAATTTTGAATGCTACCTACTAATTTAACAATTTGCTACTTTTATGATTAATGCTAAGAAGTTTAAGGGAAGACATTGAGGAATTTAATGTTTGTTTGGTTTTTTGTTTTGGGGGATGGTCCTCAGGACCTTGTGCTTATGAGGCATGCAGCGGCACCACTGAACTAAAAAAAAAGTGGCACCACTGAACTAAATTCCTGGCCCCTAGTGTTTGTTGTAAAGAGACTTGCAGAGGTAATAATGCAGCAAACATACTAAGCACGTTACATTTTGTTTCTCATTAGCCAGCCTAGTAACTTCATAGTAACTTCATATTAGTATTAATCCTGTTTTATACATGAAAAATTGACCTTTAAGATTAAGTTTTTAAGCTGGGCATGGTGGCACATCCCTGTAATCCCAGCACTCAGGAGGCTGAAGCAGGAGAATCGCTGTGAGTTCCAGACCAGCCTGGGCTACATAGTGAGTTCCAGGTCAGTCTCAACTACATAGTGAGACCTTGTCTCAAAAAAACAAACAAAAGCTTAAGTTTTTTAAATTAAATTTTATTTTATCCCTTTTCCACCTTCAAGCCCCATCTACTCCTTACGTACAAAACCTTTGTTTCCATTTTTTTTCTATTTTCACTTTTTTCTTGTCCCTTCCTTCCTTTCTCCCTCCTCCCTTTTTCCCCTTCCCATTTGAACACTGTCTTCCCATTTCCCAGTATCCATTATATATCTCAATCCTTATTTCCGCTTTTCATTTCTCATACTAGAGAAACAATGCAATATTTAAACATGCGTGTCTGGTTTATTTCACTTAAGAGTATGGTCTCAAGGTCCATCCATTTAGCTATAAATATGTGAAGCTCATCCTTCTTTATGGAAAGTAGTACTCCTTTGTATAAAAAGGCACATTTTTATCCACATGTCAGTTGATGGGCATTTGGGCTGTTTCCAAAATTTAACTGTTACAAACTGCTGCTATAAACGTGAGTGTGAAAATATCGCTGTGGTAAGATGCTTTTAATCTTTCAGGAGGATACTAAGAAGAGGTATATAGCTAGATCAAATGGAACCTCTCTACTTTTAGTTCTTTGAGAAATCTCTACACTGATGTCCACAGTGGTTGCGCCAGTCTACACTCCCACCAGCAGTGGAAAAGGTTTCTTTTTCTCCACAGCCCTTCTAGCAGTTGTTATTGGTTGATTTCTTGATAGCAGCCATTCTTTCTGGGGTGAAGTGGAATCTCAGTGTTTCCATTTGCATCTGTTGAATAACTGGTGATGTTGAACATTTTTTCATAAATTTATTTTCCGTTTCTAATTCTTTTAAGGTTGTTAAATTAACCCGCTGTGAGTGTTGAGCTTTACCTTTTGTGTAGTTTTTGTTTTGTTTTTGTTTTTGTACCAGGGATTGAACTCGGGTCCTTGCGCTTGCAAGGCAGGCCACCGAACCACTTAGCTAAATCCCCGGGCCCTGTGTAGTTTTTGTTCTTGTTGCTGTTGTTAAATCAAACGATATATTTATCCTATCTTACACCAAGTTTTCAAATTTACTTCACATATATTTCACCCAGTATTGCTAGAAGTGCCATGAGTGCACTAGAGCAGATCACTGATACGTGTTCTATAGCTCTCTATTCTTACTGTGATGATCTTTTTGTTAGTTGTTTTACATTAGCTGCTAACAGGAGACAGCTGTTCTTTCTCAGTCCAGTTCCCCAAGTTCTTCCACAGAAAACCTACCCTGTTGCTGAAATGTTAAAATATCAAGAGCATATTACTTCGTAAACTAGTTACAGTTTTGTATTTTGCTTTTATTTTGCTTCTAAACTTGTTAAGCCAAAGGTTCTCCTCTTCACTTGTGCTAAGAGTAGCAGAATATTTCCTTTCGATCTTTCTAGCTCAGCATCATCTCCTTCCTTGCTGTTGCTTGTGTGTAAAAACCTTGTACTTCTAAGTAGAATAGTTCCAAAACGGTACACCAAATAAATGAGCTATCTTTCATTTATTTATTTCTACATTTCTTAGGAAACTAGAAATAGAGTTACAACACCCTTACAGTCTGAAGTTCATTTTTCATGAAAATGTAATTTTTTTCTTTTACTTATTTATATTTTGGCATTTCTCCTTGTTCTTTTGAGTGCTTGGCTTTCTTCATCGAACAGTTTTGTTTCTTTTGATCCTCGTAAAGACTTTACTATTAGTTATAGTCATCTTATTTCGCTAATGCATTTTTGTTTATGTATTTATCCTGTTTGATTAAGGATAAGATTTCCTATACGTAAATAACCTTTCCAAAATCAAGTAAAAAAATTAGTAATTTAAAAAAATATATTTTTCTTTTCTCTCTGTTTTAGGATGGCTACCATGGGGTAGTTAATATTGTGCCACAGAAACCACCACTGCTAGACAGACCTGGTGAAGAAAGCTACAGTAGATATCACAGCCATGTTGGTTACCAAGAATATGTCCAGGGTTGCAGTTTTTCTCATGATCGAAGAAGTGGTCCACCTCATGGAGGAGTATGTAAATTTCTCCATGACTAATAGTTATTTATGATGTTTAAAATTCATGTAATTAGGGCCGGGGATTTAGCTCAGTGGTTCTGCCACCTGCCTTGCAAGCCCTAGGACCCAAGTTTGATCCCCGGTACTAAAAAAAAAAAAATTTCATGTAGTTAAAATGTATGGGATTGCCATAAAAGCAACTGAATAAATATTTCCAGCCTGCTGGAGCTGTCAAATCAGGAATTGTAGTCATGAATCTTGGGCTGTTGGACAAGGTGGGTAAGCACTCTGGACAGCTCAGAATGCCATTAATTCCAAGTGGTATACCTTTCTTGCTTGCTGGAAATCAAGCCAAGCCGGGCGTGGTGGTACATGCCTGTAATCCCAGCACTTGGGAGGCTGAGGCAAAAAACAAAACAAAACAAACAAAAGAAAAAAAGAAAAGAAAGAAATCAAGCCAAGTAAGTATTTTTGATTCTTCTTCTTTTTTTTTTTTCGGTTTTTTTTTTTTTTTTTGAGACAGGGCCTCACTATGTAGTTGAGACTGACCTGGAACTCACTGTGTAGCCCAGGCTGGTCTCAAACTCACAGTGATTCTCCTGCCTCAGCCTCCCGAGTGCTGGGATTACAGGCGTGCGCCACCACACCCAGCCAGTATTTTTGAAATATTAACTGCTATTGTTAGTATTTTAATTTTTTCTTGATAAGTAGAGGTTCATAAAGATGTACTGATTTGTTATTAACCTTAGTAAAAGTATTTCTTGATGTTGTTCCCCTTTTAGCTTTGCAACTTTGCCATATTTCTTTTCCACATTTTCCACCTTTTCCATTTCCCCTTTGCTACTGCAGGTAACATAGTAATTAACCATACATATTTAAACACTTATAATAAAATTTGACCTCACACTGTCTATGGGATTAGTCCCCATGGAGTACTCTTGAAGAAGTGGAGGTCAGAGATTTTCAAGGATGGGTATTTATGGGACCTCAGTCCTCTTATTATTACGTAATAGTACCTTTGACAATTCCAAAGCACTCAAAAGACTATTCATTGTGTTTTGTGCTTGTTCCTAAACTTTGGAGTGTTATAATCTCCTTACTTGTCATAGAATTGATTTTTTTGTTATTGTTCAGATCTTAAATGTCATGCTGTTCCTTTGCCAAGAGGGGTCAGGTGTGGAAAAGTAAATGCTGTGCATTGTTTCTGTGTTAGAAATTCTAGATTTTGCCATCAGTCATTCTCCAGGTAGATTCAGGGAGAAACAGTTTGATTGTTGCATAAACATTTGTTAACCCCTTTTGTGAAAGTCTTGTGACCTTTAGTACAAAGAGGTTTGTATTCCTTGGACTAGTTTTTGAAACTTTACGAGCATATTTTTTTCTTCCCTGAAAAATTGAACCATAATAGTGCTTCCAGAATGGCACAGTTGTTTCCTATTGGCCTTTTAAGTTTTGTCTGTCTGGGCTAGAAATGTAGTTGAGCGGTAGAACCCTTGCCAAGTGTGTGGGAGGCTTTGATTTCAATCCCCAGCACCGTGAAACAAAACAAAACCATTATATTTGTCTTCATGCTTTGTATAACATTAAAAAGATTTTTTTTCCTTCAAACACCAAGCCCACTTGTCATCCTTACACAGTTCTCACAGTTAGTGTTATCTGGAATCCACTTACATAAAACAAACCACTTACTTGATCTGGTATCATACTACAGCAGTCGAATTGTTTCCTTTTGTTTATATTTAGTGTTGAGAAAGAAAATGATACATAAATTTTACTTAAGATTAGGCATGTGTTGATAAAGAGGAACATGAAGAGCCGGGCATGGTGGTGCACGCCTGTAATCCCAGCACTCAGGAGCCTGAGGCAGGAGGATCACTGTGAGTTCAAAACCAGCCTGGGCTACATAGTGAGTTCCAAGTCAGTCTCAACTACATAGTGAGAACCTGTCTCAAAAAAAACAAAAACAAAACAAAAAAGGAAATGAAGAGTTTTTCTTCTTGAATCATTTTTCCTGATTTATAATTTGTATGTTATTTTTTGTGCATAATTTTAAGGTAATTGGGTATGGATTACTATTTTGTTTCTTTATTCATCTTTCAAATAGATCTAAAAGGACAAAATGTGTGAATATTAAATTTACTGCTACATAGTAATCTTAATATTGCTTATCAAGGGTAATTCTTTACTATATCGCTTTTAATTGTGCCGTTTAATGAGAAAGTGAAAAAAGAAAAATGGGTTAGAAAAGTGGAAAAAGTAGTAACAAGTTTTTTCTTTGAGCCTGAATCTGAAATTTGATGAGAGAACTTGGAAAATGATGGGTGCAGAAATGATAACCAAATCAAGCCTTTGTTCTCCAGTAGCCATTAACTGTCCTGATGTTGGTATTTGTGTGTCTGGCAGTATACCTGTGCAATGTGAATCTACCATTGAGTCACATATTTTTAATAGCGGTAGATGGTACCACAGGTTCTCATATACTATCTACTGTTGATTATTGAAGTGGATGACTTTTTGTCTTTGAAGCTTAGGAAAATTTTGAAGAAAAGTATATTTTCCTTTAAAAAATGTTGACCCTAAAGACTAGATTTCATTAGTAATGCTGGATATATCCTACTTGTCCAAAAATAATGTTAAGTCTCTAAATAACTGTTGTTACAGGATGAATCTGGCTATAGATGGTCAAGAGACGATCATTCCTCAAGACAACAGACTGATTACAGGTAAACAGATAAAGTAATAGCAGAAGTACTTTAATACGTCTATTCTCTGCAATTTGTGCTGCCCTCAGGAACATAGCTGAAAATACTAGGATTTCAAAATTTGAAAGCAAGCTGGGCATAATCACACACATTTGTGATCCCCAACACTCAGGAGGCTAAGGCAGGAAGATCACTGCGAGTTTGAGGCCAGCCTGGGCTACGTAGAGAATTCAAAGGCAGCCTGAATTACAGCGTGAGACCCTTTCTCAAAAACCCAAAATAAATAAATAAAATAAAGTGAAATTTTGAAAGCAGCAAGCATTATATTCATTTTGTGACTAGAATAGAGTAGGTAATTAATATTCTACATATTTTGACATTTTGTAATTGATAATAAAATACATACTTTAAAATAATTTCAATTAATACATTCTTGCAAGTTAATATTCTTAGCATGTCACATGAAGTATGAGATATAGGTGTGCTCAATTTTAAATAAAGTATTTCTTTCAGAAATAGCCTTCTGGAATATTTACCTTCTTACATGATGTATCCTAAGATGTTCTCAGTTGCTTTACTTTGTTAAAATTCTGTTAGGAAAAAAACATTTTGAAAGGCCTTTGTTAGCTTTGGTCACTTATAGAGGGTACCTAGTAGAATAGTTGGTGGATAAAAGCTACAAACAGAGCTGAGCACAGTAATCCAAGGAGGCTACTGATTGCAAGTTTGTGCCCAGCCTGGGCAGTTTAGTGAGACCCTGTCCCAGAAAAAGGGGTGGGGTATGTAGGTCAGTGACAGAGCGCTCTTGAATTCAATCCGCAGTCCTATTAAAAACAAAAAAGTGATGGGCAGATGACCAACTTTTGTTTGCTCAATTTTTGGCACTGGGTTGAACCCAGGCCTTCACACTGAGCTACATCCCAACCCTTTCTTTACTCTTTAATTTGAGACAAGTCTCTAAGTTGTTCAGGCTGCTCTCAGATTGCTGTCCTCTGCCTCAGCCTCCCAGAGTGCTGTGTGTAGAGGCCGGGTCACTGTGCCCTACTGATAACTTGATTTTGTCATTTGTTCTTTTTTTTTTGGTTTTTTGAGACAGGGTCTCACAATATAGTTGAGACTGACCTGGAACTCACTATGTAGCCCAGGCTGGTCTTGAACTCACAGTGATCCTCCTGCCTCAGCCTCCCGAGTGTTGGGATTACAGGCATGCAGGCATGTGCCACCATATACCAGTGACGTTTGTTCTTAAAATGACTGTACAGTAGTCATTTTGGGAGTTTTAAAGGTCCTTTAATGATGTCTTATGAGCTGTCTGGGAAAAGAAGCCCAAATTCCTAGAGGATGCATTTACATGGAGAATGACAGTATCTGCCACAAGACCATAGGTACCAGAGCTGGACTCAAATTCATTGGGTCAAAGCAATGCATTTATTATGTTAGGTCCAGGCAGTGGCTGTGCATACAGTGGGTTTCTAAGGAACCCAGGGTCAAGAGCTCACTACCTTTTGGAGCAAGTGAGATGGAGCAAGCCAGTCCTTTCTCTGGTAGTGAGCAGCCCTTCAGTAGTTGGGCTATAGTTCCCTTGTCTCTGTAGACAACCGTGGAGTCTGCTCAGCATTAATAGGTAGTTAGGTTTTACAGTTTGACATTCAGTTCCCGTAACAGGCTACCAAGAGAAGCAGTAGAAAGAATAAATGCTGAGAAACAGGCTTTGAGAACATTGAACACCCAGTAGTTTAAAAAGCTTATAGCCAGCTGGGAATGGAAGAAAATTTGATTTCTTTGACCTGATAAATAGCATTTGCTGTACTGAAAGATAAAGTTAGAATCAGAACTGTTATTGCTGTTTCAGCTCAGCATGATATACCTCTCTCTTGCAGGAAAAACAAGAAAAGTAAAGGTGTAGAGGTTACAGTGGAAAATTTTTCCCCCTGTGTTTTGGCAGTACTCGGGACCAAATGCAGAACCTTCACATTGAGCTACAGCCCCAACCCTTTTTATATTTGGAGAGAGGATCTCACAGAGTCACTAAGTTGCGTAGGCAGGGATGTACTTGTGATCCTTCTGCCTGAACCTCCCAAGAGTGCTGGCATTACAGTCATTCACATACAGATGCCCAGCAAAAAGAAACAAAAACAGAAAAATGATTTAAAGATGATACAGTTTATGTATGTAGAAAGTCTAGAGAAGTCTGTGGGCTATTAGAACTATTAGGAAATTCCCAAAGTTGATCATAATAAAAATCAATTAACAACATAAATTAGGAAATACAGTTTTAAAATATTACTGCCTAAATAATGAATAAGTGTGTCAGAAGTATAAGATCCATGCCAAGGAAATTACATGTTACTTATAAAGGATATAAAAAGAGCAAAACACAGCTGGAAGTGGTGACATATAGCTGGGAATATTTGAGCCCAGCCTGGGCAACTTACTGAGATTGTCTCAAAATAAAATATAAAAAGGGTCAGAGATGTAGCTCAGTGCTAATGCTTTCAGTTCAATCCCCAGTACCACAAAAAAGAGGGAAAAAAGCAAAATGTATCCTTTCCTGGGAATAGTTTGATAAAGATATCAATTCTTCTCAAAGTAAGTGAATTCACAGCACTCAGGAAGCTGAGGCAGGAGGATCGCTGTGAGTTCAAGACCAGCCTGGGCTACATGTGAGACCCTTTTTTAAAAAAAAAAAGAGATGTGAATTCAGTGTGGTTTTAGTCAAAAATAAAGATTATTTTTTTCATGGACATTAACATGTTCCTTCCAAAAATATGGAAGAGTAAAGAGCCACCCTGCAAAAATAAGCCTGGAAAAAGATGTGAAGACTCAAGATGGCATGTATCCAAAATTATAAAGCTGGAGTACTAAGGAGGACTCTGGTAGTGTGCACGTGGTCAGGTACAACAGTGAAGCAGACTTGAAAGAAACCTAGTCATATTTAGGAGTTTGGGTATGACAGCAGTGACTCCTAGATCGATGGGACTGCAGCTTTGCATCACTGTGCCCAGGACTTGAAACTAAATGTAGAATGAACTTTGAATAAATAGTGCTGGGACAAATTTTGAAAAAACATAAAATTGGAAACCTAGTATGTCAAAATAATATATGGTCTAATTAAGACCTACTACATATGTGAAATTATAGTCTGTATACAACTTTATGTGTATGGTGGGTATAGTGCATTGAACCCAGGGCCTTTTCACTGAGGTATATCATCAGCCCTTCTTTGTTTTTTTATTTCAAAATAAAGACTCACTATGATGTTAAATTAGGATGGGGCTGGGCTTGAATTTGCAGTTCTTTTTTGGAAAGTTAGACTAGTTGATATGTTAGCCTTCTCCCACAAGAAAATGATTCTTTATTTATTTGTCAATTGTTTTTGTTTTTTTGTAGACCTAGGGATTGAACCAAGGAGCACTATACTAGTGAGCTATAACCCCAATCTTTTATTTTCTCTTTCCTCTCTCTCTCTTTCCTACCGGGGATTGAACATTGGACCTTTTGCTTGCAAGGCAGGTGGCAGAACAACTGAACTAAATCCCCAGCCCTTATTCTTTATTTTTGAATACAAGGTCTTCCCATGTTACCCAGGCTGGCCTTGAACTCATGACCCTCCCGCCAAGGCCTCCCAAATGCTGGGATTACAGGCATGCATAAGCCTTTTTTGAGACAAGGTCTCACTGAATTGTCTAGGCTGATCTGGAACTTGTGATTTTCCTCCCTTAACCCTCTGGAGTAGCTGGGATTATGGATATGTGTCACTATACTCAGTGTTTTCTGCTTTTTATGGCTTTTTTGTATGGATATGTAGAATTTTATGTAAGTGAAATAAAATTATGTGTAAGAATCTTTGATCACTACAGCTGTTTTAACATCTTGGTGTATGTTCTGTATTTTTTTCCATATTCATAAATATGTAGGGTAGTTGTATTAAAATGATACATATCTATCCAAATCCTATGAAGCCCTTTTCATCTAATTGCTTATGGAAATCCTTACAAAATATGTGATTTAATTTGAATTGATTCTTTTTAGTATGTATATGTCAAATTTAGCTAGACACTCTATATAGTACAAAATAGTGCTGTAGTGAATCATAGTACTTAATACCTTTATGAATCAGTGCTCCTTTTTTTTTTTTTTTTTTGGTTCTGGGAATCAAACTCAGGACCTTGCGCTTGCAAGGCAGGCAGCAGCACCACTGAACTAAATTCCCTGCCCAATGCTTTGATTTTTTTTATGGAATAATTGTGAAAAACAACTTCTTGGTAAAATACTGATCTTAAGCTTGTTTTCTTAGAAGAGTGTAACACATTTTAATTTTTTATAAAAATTGAGATTTTTACCTTGGATAATCATTTTTCTTATTTATTAGTATAAGTAGGGTACTGTACTTTCCCCTAAGTATGATACTGTAACTACCTCATGATTCTCATGTATGCTAGTATATAGTGATGCTGACAGTACATTCTAGTAATTCATTAGAGAATGTTGCTGGTTCTTTGATAAATTTTGATTCCATAAATCCTTGGATTGTAAGTGTTAATTATTTTATCAGTTTTCTTAACTATATCATGAGCATCAAAACAGGTTAAATTCTGTTTTGAGGATATGGAGTTTATTCTATATGGTATGTTAAGTAATTTGTTAATTTTTATTTTTGATTTTATTGGTATGTTTGTGGTTCATGTATTTACAGTCATCTTGGGGAGTGGTTACATGTTCATACCACACAGTTTTGTTTTGTTTTGTTTTGTTTTGTTCTGGGAATTGAACTCAGGACCTTGTGCTTGCAGACAGGTGGCTGAAACACTGAACTAAGTCCCCAGCCCCTGGCATATCTTTATTCTGCTTATTTGCTTTTCTCTTCCTCTTCTACCATCATGCTTTTTTCCTTTTTTTTTGAGACAGGGTCTCACTATTTAGTTGAGACTGACCTGGAACTCACTATGTAGCCCAGGCTGGTCTCAAATTCAAAGCAATCCTCCTGCCTCAGCCTCCAGAGTGCTGGGATTACAGGTGTG